TAATAGGATGTTTTCCTTTTTTTTTTTGTAAGATTCAACAGAGACTTTAAAGTGCTAATGTACATGCTGACTTGCTGAGCAGGGATCCCATGTGTGTAGCTGTTTCTTAAGTGTACATGACACTGGGACCATTTCTTGCTTGGTTCCAATGTCATGTACTAGCCTGATGTGCAGAAGAGCTTTAGGGAAATGCTGCTTTATCACATTGCTCTCTTCACCACACACTAGTTGCCTGGTCTGAAATCCACCTCAAAACCATTTGAGTTTTGAGATGCGCAAATGTTCACAAGAATTTCACAAAGTATTTTGCCCATGTGCATTTCAGATCACTCAGTCTTCACTTCTAAAAGTGAGATTAACCTTTCCAAGAATTGCTGAGATACATACATGTGGTCGTTGAAGAAAGATTTTAAAATTTTATATTTAAAAAGAAATTAAAAATTTAAAAAGAACCCCTCCCTATCCATCTCCAAGATCTAACAATTATCAAGATTTGCCCACACTTACTTAATGTATCCCCTGATGTTTTTACCTGTGGCTGAAATATTTTGAAGTAAATTCCAGATATCATATCACTTCACCCCATTTCCTTTTGTATGTGTCTCTAAAAATTACCCAGTTTTTCTTACATAATGACAAACCATGTTAAGTCTATTAAAAAAATAGCAATTTTAATTTGTTGGTGTCATCCACTGAGAATGAAGTGCTCAGCAAGGCCTACAGTCTGCTTTAGAATTAGGTACAATGTTGGCCTCTGCTGGGACATAGGATGTGGTTTTCTCACTCATTTTTCTGTCCATGTAAAACCACTCTTCAAATTCTCAGTGGGCTGGGCACATTAGCTCATGCCTGTATTGCCAGCACTTTGGGAGGCTAAGGTAGGCAAACCACTTGAGATCAGAAGTTCAAGACCAGACTGGCCAACATGGTGAAACTCAGTCTCTACTAAAAATACAAAAAATTAGCTGGGTGTAGTGGCACATGCCGGTAATAACTCCTACTTGGGAGGCTGACATAGGAGGGTGGCTTGAACCCAGGAGGTGGAGATTGCAGTGAGGAGAGATGATGCCACTGAACTCCAGCCTGGGCAACAGAGTGAGACTCCATCTCAAAAACAAAAACAAAAAATTCTCATAGCACCTTAGTATCTCTTATATCCTTATATCTATTGCAGATTTGGAAAAGAGGAGTTATTCAGCAATCGTGGGCCAAACGGAAGCAGGAGAGGAGGCTCTGAGGGAGATATAGGGGCTATTCTTATTCCCACAGGATTCAGGGACAGACAGAAAATGTGACTGATCTAAACAGGTACAATGCAAATCAGTAATACATGATTGAGCTGATAGCATTGTGACTGAACATAAACCAGCTAAGTATTAAGTTGGTGCACAAGTAATTAAGGTTTTTGCCATTACTTTCAATGGCAAAAATCCCAATTACTTGTGCACCAACCTTAGACATTGCTTTCTGAGACACTGTGTATGTTTGAAATATGAGGCCAGTGAAATAAACTGGCAAAATATTTGATGGGTTGTGCAGTGTCACAGTTTTTGACCTCTGTGTAAATTTGGGAAAAGCTTGACTCAAGTTTTCTCTTTTCACACAAACTACTGGATGAAATGCTAGTTTTTAAACTGGTTGCCCTGTGGAGTCTACTCAGTGACAAAGTGGAGAAGACCTATAGATTGATGTGGCACCCACACCTCGCCCTGTGCAGTTTGTCTCTTTACATTCTGTTCTTTCATTTATGAGTTCATGACACCCCATGATTCTATGGCTCAAAGGAGGTTGAAAAACCACTGGTCTGGTGAAAAGAGAGCTCTCCAAGGCAATTCTTCAATTGTTTCCCTTCACAGAAGAGCTGAGAGCTGAGGGCCTGTGTCCCTTTCCTTTTCTATGGGGTCTGGGCTTTTCCAGTACTGGGTAGAGCTGTGACAGTCAGACCAGTCTCCTACTGCATGGCCTCACTCAGGAGAAGCATGTGGCTGGATTCTCAACTTGAAATATGTGCACTGATGAAGGCCAGCTCCTCATCGCTCAGCAGGAGGGGAGGGTGTGATTGAATGCTGCCCAGCTGTGGGCTTCTGATTGGAGCAGGAACCCCTGATCAATCATCCCATTTATCTGAAAGCTGAATAAGCCTATAAAACAATGCCCAAAGCACTTACTGTCTGGGGCAAGCAGGAAAATTATGGCTTTCATATTTATACACTGATAGTTTCTTCTGCTATTTACCTTAACAAAGCAACTCAACACAATTAGTGTAAACTACCAAAGGCTCCTGGTTATATTTAGCTAATGGATTTCGTTTAAAGAGCAAGTAGCTAATGATCTGAAGCACAGACTGCTATCACAACAGCCCTAATAAGGTGGAAATCACAAGGAGAAAAAGCACTGAACATTTGCCTGGTGGGGGAGTGATTGAACCTGGAAATGCACCAACAGGTTCTGCTCAGTGTCCTTAACTGTTTTACATGCAGATGCCCTGGAATCAGAACACCTGGGGACTTTGCCCCTTTTATGTTTTAATCCATCCCCCCCTTTTTTTTTAAACTGTCAGCTCCCAGCTAAGGGCGTTCCTGCATCCAGGGTCCAGGCCAAAAGTGGAGCCCTGATGGAACTCAGAGAAGAAGGGTGACTGAGATCAACTTCAAGGAAGGGGCAGGCTCACTATATCATGCTCACACCGACATTGAAAAACAGAAAAATGAATACGAGTGGGGTTTTGAAGAAGTGGGAGCTGAAGGAATGGGCCAGCACACAGGCCCTGCTAAGCCACAAGTAGAACGTGGACAAGGCAAAGGTAGGGACAGTCCAACAATAGAAAGGCATGAGCTTGGCCAGGAGCCTGGGACCAGAAGGCTTTGGGCATAGGAGAAAAAGAGAGGCTTGGGGGCAGGTTGACCACAGCATGACTTAAATGAATTCATTTGGTCGATCCTCAAGTGTGATGAACCTCTGCTTAGTGGTTCTCTTTTTATGTGTCAAAGGTGGAACCATAATGCCCACTCCATATGATTGGTGCCACAAAAATGTAATATTGTTAAAAATGTGGGCCAGGTGTGGTGGCTCACACCTGTAAACCCAGCACTTTGGGAGGCTGAAGCAGGTCGATCATTTGAGGTTGGGAGTTCGAGATCAGCATGACCAACATGGAGAAACCCCATCTCTATTAAAAATACAGAATTAGCTGGGAGTGGTGGTGCATACCTGTAATCTCAGCTACTCGAGAGGTGGAGGCAGAAGAATTGCTTGAACCCGGGAGGTGGAGGTTGCAGACCTGAGATCATGCCATTGCACCCTAGCCTGAACAACAAGAGTAAAACTTTGTCTAAAAAAAAAAAGTGCCCATGTGCTTGGCAGACAGTCTCAGCACAGGCCGACTGCTTGGGTCTTTGTCATTGCTGTCACGGTGCTGTTCTGGTGTCTTTACCAGACATAAGCTAACAATGGAGCATCTCAGCACACTGTCTTCTTGCTCTTCAAAGGAAAAGAGATTTGGCTTCATACTCTCTTCTTGCTCTTAAAGGAGAAGAGATTTGGCTCCTCATTCAGCTCCTGGTGTTTTCTTGAGTCACTAGTTGGATATTTTGATTTTTGAGACAGACATGCTGCAAATATTTTGGTAATTATTTGGTCCCACACCTGGACAGGATATGAATCCACAAGTCACTCTAGTGACTGTTTCTTTTGCCGTGCAGAAGCTGTGGAGTTTCATTAGGTCCCATTTGTCTATTTTGGCTTTTGTTGCCAACGCTCTTGGTGTTTTGGTCATGAAGTCCTTGCCTACTCCTATGTCCTGAATGGTTTTGCCTAGATTTTCTTCTAGGGTTTTTATGGTGCCAGGTCTTATGTTTAAGTCTTTAATCTGTCTGGAGTTAATTTTAGTGTAAGGTGTCAGGAAGGGGTCCAATTTCTGCTTTCTGCACATGGCTAGCCAGTTTTCCCAACACCATTTATTAAACAGGGAGTCCTTTCCCCATTGCTTGTTTTTGTCAGGTTTATCCAAGATTGTTTGGTTGAAGATGTGTTGTGTTGCCTCCGATGCCTCTGTTCTGTTCCATTGGTCTATATATCTGTTTTGGAACCAGTACCATGCTGTTTTGATTACTGTATCCTTGTAGTATAGTTTGAAGTCCGGTAGTGTGATGCCTCCTGCTGTGTTCTTTTTGCTTAGAATTGACTTGGCTATGTGGGCTCTCTTTTAGTTCCATATGAAATTCAAGGTGGTTTTTTCCAGTTCTGTGAAGAAAGTCAATGGTAGCTTGATGGGGATAGCATTGAGTCTGTAAATTACTTTGGGCAGTATGGCCATTTTCACAATATTGATTCTTCCTAACCATGAACATGGAATGTTTCTCCATCTGTTTGTGTCCTCTCTTATTTCATTGAGCAGTGGTTTGTAGTTTTCCTTGAAGAGGTCCCTTAATTTCCTTGTAAGTTGTATTCCTAGGTATTTTATTTTCTTTGTAGAAGACATACATGAGGCCAACAAACATATGAAAAAATGCTCATGGTCACTGGTCATTAAAGAGATGCAAATCAAAACCACATTGAGATACCATCTCATGCCAGTTAGAATGGCGATCATTAAAAAATCTGGAGACAACAGATGCTGGAGAGGATGTGGAGAAATAGGAACACTTTTACACTGCTGGTGGGAGTGTAAATTAGTTCAACCATTGTGGAAGACAGTGTGGCGATTCCTCAAGGCCTTAGAAATAGAAATTCCATTTGACCCAGCAATCCCATTACTGGGTATATATCCAAAGGACTATAAATTGTTTTACTATAAGGACACATGCACACGAATGTTCATTGCAGCACTGTTTACAATAGCAAAGACCTGGAACCAACCCAAATGCCCATCGATGATAGACTGGACTGGGAAAATGTGGCACATATACACCATGGAATATTATGCAGCAATCAAAAATGATGAGTTTGTGTCGTTTGTAGGGACATGGATGAATCTGGAGAACGTCATTCTCAGCAAACTGACATAAGAACAGAAAATGACCCCTTGCGCCGACCAGAACCCGCAGACATGGCGAATCAGGTTATCAAGTGCAAGGCTGCAGTTGCCTGGGAGGCTGGAAAGCCTCTCTCCATAGAGGAGATAGAGGTGGCACCTCCAAAGGCTCATGAAGTTCGAATCAAGATCATTGCCACTGCAGTTTGCCACACTGATGCCTATAATCTGAGTGGAGCTGATCCTGAGGGTTGTTTTCCAGTGATCTTGGAACATGAAGGTGCTGGAATTGTGGAAAGTGTTGGCGAGGGAGTTACTAAGCTGAAGGCGGGTGACACTGTCATCCCACTTTACATCCCACAGTGTGGAGAATGCAAATTTTGTCTAAATCCTAAAACTAACCTTTGCCAGAAGATAAGAGTCACTCAAGGGAAAGGATTAATGCCAGATGGTACCAGCAGATTTACTTGCAAAGGAAAGACAATTTTACATTACATGGGAACCAGCACATTTTCTGAATACACAGTTGTGGCTGATATCTCTGTTGCTAAAATAGATCCTTTAGCACCTTTGGATAAATTCTGCCTTCTAGGTTGTGGCATTTCAACTGGTTACGGTGCTGCTGTGAACACTGCTAAGGTTGAGCCTGGCTCTGTTTGTGCCATCTTTGGCCTGGGAGGAGTTGGATTGGCAGTTATCATGGGCTGTAAAGTGGCTGGTGCATCCCAGATCATTGGTGTGGACATCAATAAAGACAAATTTGCAGGGGCCAAAGAGTTTGGAGCCACTGAATGTGTTAACCCTCAGGATTTTAGTAAACCTATCCAGGAAGTGCTCATTGAGATGACTGATGGAGGAGTGGACTATTCCTTTGAATGTATTGGTAATGTGAAGGTCATGAGAGCAGCACTTGAGGCGTGTCACAAGGGCTGGGGTGTTAGCGTGGTGGTTGTAGTAGCTGCTTCAGGGGAAGAAATTGCCACTCGTCCGTTCCAGCTGGTAACAGGTCGCACATGGAAAGGCACTGCCTTTGGAGGATGGAAGAGTGTAGAAAGTGTCCCAAAGTTGGTGTCTGAGTATATGTCCAAAAAGATAAAAGTTGATGAATTTGTGACTCACAGTCTGTCTTTTGATGAAATTAACAAAGCCTTTGAACTGATGCATTCTGGAAAGAGCATTCGCACTGTTGTGAAGATTTAACTCAAAAGAGAAAAATAACGTCCATCCTGTTGTGATGCGATAGGAGCAGCCTAACAGGCAGGGAGAAGTGCTTCCAAGCTCACAGCCTCATAGACCTTCAGCAGCTACGCCACACAATAGTGTGATATATGTAATTCATGCATCTCTGTAATCAAGGACAAAGATAATTCAGTCATGAACCTGTTTTCTGGACCCCTCCTCCACATAAATAATTGCTAGCTCATTAAGGAATATTTTAACATAATAAAAGTAATTTCTACAAAAAAAAAAAGAACAGAAAATGAAATACTGCATATTCTCACTCATAGGCAGGTGATGAACAATGAGAACACATGGACACAGGGAAGGGAGCACTACACACTGGGGTCTATTGGGGAGAATAGGGGAGGAACAGCAGGGGGTGCTGGGGAGAGATGGCCTGGAGAGAAATGCCAAATGTGGGTGAAGGGGAGGAAGGCAGCAAAACACACTGCCACATGTGTACCTATGCAACTATCTTGCATGTTCTGCACATGTACCCCAAAACCCAAAATGCAATAAAAAAACAAATAAAAATAAAAAATCTTGGATAACAAAATGTTGTTTGTGATGAACAATGGATACTAACAAGTAGTAATGCAAACGTGAAAATGAATACTAGGCAGCCGTTAAAAATATTGTTGACTTTTTTCTTCAATGAAAAGAGAAAACTATAAATGATCTAT